GACTTTTTTCTTGCTGATTATTTTTGGTGGCAAATTGATAATGAGCATATCTACATTTTTTTTAAAGTGAGGCACCACCAAGGAGTACCAAAACATTGTAAAAATATGAAATTGGCAATACTGATGTGACACTCTACATAATATGCATTTTCGTCATAGCCCGACCGTGACGCTTTACATAACATGTCCCTTAGTGCCAAGTTTAAGAGAGTATTATAGACACATCAAATTTGAAATTGTCTTTGCTGTCAATTTAAATTACAAAATTGAGATTGAAATAAAGAGAACAATTCTAATTTAAATTTGGTCACGTTGACGTGGTTTATGTGTGTTGTCATGTTGGTCAAAGCAGTGTTGCTCAATAATATGTCTCAAAATTTGTGCCTATTAGAAGGGTAGTGAATTAGGAGTGGAGGTATATATTCTTGTATGGATATTTAAGCGTTTTTAGAGAAAAATAAATATCCTTTATATCTAGGCTTTAAAGAACGTGTCAAAATTATATGAACAGTATGAAATTGACAATCAGTGTTCTACTCTGCTGAAATCTAATAAACCCGTACATAGTCTTTATTTCAATTTTTCTTGTAAAAATACACCTGAATCGTTCTATATCCTCTGAGTAATCAATATGTGTATTACTTAAAAGTAGAAATTCAAAGTTGTGTCCTGGCAAACTTAAAATATTTCCAAAAATTTCAAGCTGTCACAGCATAAAATCCATCTACATGGCATACAGTATGTTGAATACTAACTACATACATATATGCAAATGCAATTTCCGTTTAATAGAAAATACAAAAATGACTATAAAGCCCACAACTTTTGGCCCATATAACTACTCACCTGAAATGAAAAACTTGGTAAAACTTCAGATGCAATTGTCATGTGCAAAATGGCCATTGGCGAAACACATAACAGAAATAAAATAGATGTACTTCCTGTGAAATACAAATGAGAATAAAAGACAGCATAAATACAAAATAAAATAAAATATTTTAAATTGCTGCTTGACTGTAGCATTTGTGTGCATTATTAAGCTATGTGTAAATGTTACCTAAAAGTAAAAATAGTCTTCGTTCTTCTGCGAATTTACGTGGATCATCATCCTTAATGTAGGTGGAACGCGTTAGTATCATTTTACGTCGCTTTTCGCAAGTTTGACGATACACCATCATAATACGCAAATTGAGGCCCGCAATCAGAACGGTGGGAATCAATTTAAATATCACCTCCAGCATAACTTTGTAAACCTAAATTTGAGGAAATTGGAAATTTATAAAGCGAACAGGCAAATTACAAGTTCAACTGTAATTATTATTATCATTGCGAATAGCAGAAGAAATTCGATTTGTGTATGTGTGTTTGTATATATATGACTGTTTGTGTGTATGTATGCATGTTAATGTAATCTATATACTTAAACTTACTGAATAGAAAATAGTTCGAAGGAATGCATTATTATCCCGACGAAAATATACTAAATTGCCATCTGCCTGCAGCTCACATTTGATGAGTTCACCGCGAAACACGCTTGGCATATAAATGATAAAGGTGACCAGCGTTGTTAAAAATACAATCAGACTACGATAGGAGATAGATAATACATTAAAAAGTTTTCTGAAAAGCTATGAAAGCTTTTACTAACCCTGGTGGTCCCATCACAGGACGTGTAAAACTTGGATGACACACGGACACATAACGCTCAATTGTAAGCACCAAAAGCATCATAACACCAACACCTGTCAAAATGTCGAAACAAAACTTTATTGCGTTAACTCTTCATACGAAGCTTTTAGTGAAAAGCTTACCTAAACAGCCATTGCCTAAAAATAATTCTAAGTGTGCTGTGTAGAAAGCTGGACCAAACTCTTCCCATTGTCCTCTGTCCTTGTGCACAAGCATTCGTATACCAAAAGGAATAGCAAAAACTATTGCAAGTAACGCTGCTGTAGAATATGCTGAAAATATGTGAAGAAAATTGGAATATTATTATTTAAAAAATATATAATAAGATATAGCTTTATCTAAAATATGAAGTTTATATGCGGTAACTTTTACTTAACGAAAATGAAAATCTATAAGTACAAACTTCTTTGCTTCAAAATGAAGGAAAGTATTATAGCTTTTATACCAGACTCACTCTGTAAGATATATGTTGTGCGGCTTTAAAAGAGCTTTTATAAGTTTTCAAGGTTTTTTATAGTAGCTAATTTGAAGTGGAATATAGCTTTTGATTATGCATTTTATACCAATCGAATAAAAGCTGTATGGAAAAGGATTTGCTGAAAAATACATAATCTAGTACGTTTAGAAGTTTAAAGAGTTAGGCTTTTTTGTGCCGGAAGTTAAACTATATAAAAGCTTTCGTTGTCAACTATTAAAGCTTTATGGTTCATGATTTTAACTTGACTTTGCAGAGTAAATATTTTAACATTCACTTTACCTTGTGAGTGAATTGCAGTGTTTTAAAAGTGTAATAGTTTATAAGGAAAATATTACGAACGATAGATTTATTTATTATTATACTGCATTGCAATATATACAATATATTATTTTATATAATAATATAATATATTATTATATACTATATATACATTGTATATATAATAACAACATATCATTTTATTATAAACAGAAACTAGAGTAAAACTATATATATACAAATAATAATTAGGATCACTTTTGGATAACATAGCAACGCTAACAATTTAGATGGGTTAGATAAACACTAATTTATACCACACAGCTTTAATCAAACTTAAGACTCTTTTAAGAATAACAAGATGTAGTAAAATGTCGATATATTGATATTTAATACTGCCGTTTTAAAATCAGTGCGATTTAATAGCTCCAGATAAACAAATTTTGAAATAAATTGTTAGACATTAATTCCTTAGTCCCTTGTTTATTAACGTGGGTAACTATATTTCATACGGTATTGGTAGTAAATAGATTATATAAAACAAATTAACAAAAACTAAGCAAACCGTTAATATCCTCAATAAAATATGGCTATATCCAAGAATATTTTTTTGCAAAAAATTTTAAATAATAACAACAATACTACAGTTCTTTATAGCAATGGAAGCTGGAGTAGGTATAACCGATAGGCCCAAATTCTATTAACTGCTGCCTTAATCTTATCTTACAAGTAAATTTTTTTTTTCACATTCTGCTTAGCGCTAAAGAAGACATCACTAATAAACTCTTCATCATTACATTCTAAGCAACAGTAGATTGGGATGCTCACTCATAAAATTAAAAAGAAACACTGCAGTAAAGCTGCGATCTTATACATAGTAATGGAATTGAGTTATATATATAACTTTTATATAAATTTCATATATATATTTATTTATTTTCATTTTCACTTAACAAAAACGCATGGATTCGGTTATCACAGGTAATAACATTTTCTGAAACAATGTCCTTGATACAGAATGTGTATAAATTATTCCATTAACAAACAAAACAAAAACCATTCTCAAATTAATTAGAAACGTAAAACATTTGGTTTCGCCTTTTTATCTATTTTTCCATGTTTTATTTACCTTTCCAGCAATTCGTTAGTGGTTGCCACATTTGAAAGATACAACTTTCAGCTACAACATACAACAACTTGTTGAGACAATATGTTGAATATAAAATAATATGTTTGCTAAGATACTTTTGCTACTAATATTTCATTAGAATGTAACTGATATTAAATTTAAAGATTTCTGTAATTAACTTATGTATCACTGTTAACTCAAAACCTTATAATATTTTATATAAGAAAATATTCCACACAGTGATAATCATCCGAGTAAAGATAAAATTGTTTGCATTTTCGGAATTACAAGCATTTGATATATCTGCTCACACAATTCAGTGAAATTTAATCATAGATATGCATAATTTATTGCCAAACAATAAAAATAAATTTGCTTACACCTACGTACTTAATTGGAGCATTACATCATAGTTGCGGGAAGCACCTATGTATACACATACTTACTCGTCTCATTCCTTCTAAGCTCAGCTCCATTCAAGAGCATACAAGCATACATGGCAAAAAGGTTCAAGGAATCTTGTAACGAAATTCGCTTTAATTGAAAAACTTTGGGCCTTTTGTGCTGCTATCATTAATTATACATAGTTCAACTATTAGAATGCGTTCCACTGCGACACTCTCTACTTGCGTAGTTTTGCAAATAAGTCTTTCGATTCTACGATTTTTTAGTTTACTCCTTGCGTTAGGCAACATTTTGCACTTGATTGATGTTGCTACCACAATCTGAGGCAATTAAATGGGATGTACGAAAAAGGCACCAGCACATCGCGCTTAAGTGTCAGCACAAATCTTCTCATCTACACATAGTACGAGATATAAACTTCCAATTTTTTGTAGAATTTTTTTTTTCTTGTACCGAATATTTTGGTTTGATATGGTTTGGTTACAGCATATTTTCCTCGTGCAGGTGTGCAAAATGCGGGCGTAAAAATAGACAAAAATTGAATGAATTTGAATGTGGCACAATGTCGTAGAAAGCACAAAACCGAACGGGAACACCACACAAAATTCATGCATAAAATTTCCATCTGACAACAAATTTAAATTAAATTTCAAATTAAGATTATTACACACATAGCCACCTAAAACGTTCGCTTTTTCTCCATAGTAAGTTTTGCACAGTGCTTCGATGTGTCATGATGTCAACCTCCCACCTATGACTATTCTTAGTTGCAGAAGAAAACTGCATTGAGTGCATGTGTATTAAGGGAAAACGAAAGGATACAGTTTTATCTTGTAATACTGAAAACAAAAAAAGGCGAAATATAAAATATATGTGGAAAATCGTAGCGCCTTGAAGTTTATATTATTTCTTGCAGAACAATATAAGCTGCTTGTATTTTTAACACAATCCAGAGTTCTATTCATATTATTAATAGTAAACATTGTTTTTATTGCAACCAAATATCGCCTTTAATAATATCAGTGTTATGCAGTAATGTCACAATAGACTCGTGAATTGTACATCAATTGATCAACCAGATTGTCTGCTATCATTACCCAAGCTCACTTTATCTCTTTATTTATAATAACAAAAAAGCGATTATACGGATGTCCCTTATACTAGAATCGTTTGTGAAATTCCTCTTCCATTTACTTTTATTCTTTTTTTATTAAACGTTATAAGCTAATTATATTGTAACTATACATATGACCCAGCGCTATACTTAATGATGATTTTGGTAGCACCCTCTGTTATACAAAATATTGAAAATATACATATGGCAGAACAAACTTATACTAAAATAACATAATTTACTATGAATAACAAACTAAAATAACTACTTGAGAGAAGGTAGCTTTATAAACGTTTAATAAAGAATTCATAAGGAAATATGTCATATAACATTGGAATAAAACCCCAAAGACAGTCACCGATTCGACAGAACGAAATTCAAATTCGTAGAATTATCAATGAGCTACAATACAATATAACAAAAATACAGACTATTGGAAATTTTATGAAAATATTGCAAATGGAATATGGCATAATATATATATATATATTGCCAGAAGAAACTCTGCCTTTGGGTAAAAATCCCGCAAGCCTGAATTACGGATCATACCTAAATCAGCTTTGGAAAAATGTATAAAATGTTGAGGCAAGTGGTAATATAGCTACATTGCATTCGAGAATGAATAAATTTAAGTTGATTGATGATTTTTGATTTAATAACTTTGGTTTTTTTTGCACTAAACGTATACTTGAGCTCAGTAGAATATATGCTCGTTTAGATCTCTTGTTTAATCAATCTTGTTGCAGAGGATGATTGTGAAGAGAACGACGCCTCACATCTATTTGTGCATGCACGGCGCTGATTAATTAATGAAGGAGGCGATTTATTTTGAGGATTTTGTCCTACGAAAATCCTAGACGATCACGATCACCCTCTACACGATCATCCTCTAAAGAGCATAAGAGCATATTAGAATTTATTACAGTCCTAGGAGGTTTTTAAACCATTTATATTCTTATACGGTAACACAATGGGCTGATAGAGTTAAGCTGCATTTTGTGCTTGCATTAATGCCCGAGTCCCACCCTTCTCACTGACTAATTTGTGTATTCCTCATAAGCTTCGTGATTATTCGATGACTGATCTACGATCTGCGTACCGCCCCGTGCGACTAGAGATTAGATAGTTCTAAGTAGGGTGAATTTAGTGATGTACAAAATTTCATATGTAGTGTGACATTTTCAGTATGTAATTAATTTTTTTAATAAATGATACTAAGCATCATTACTTCATTTTTCCGACTATGAAGAAGAATTATTTTCGGCTGCGTATGCATAATTCCTCATATAAGGATATTCATAGAAACATTTCATCTGCATAGTTAATTTTATTTTATTAACAAAAGAGCTTGAAATTTTAAAAAGTGCTGTATGCAAAAATACAGAATTCGTCCTTGCAACCGCTAATGCTGCAAATGCAGCTGAAGTAAACTAAAGTGAACAGAGCATTGAGGAAAGCTGAATAATGCAAATATTCGCATTAAGTTTTGCAACAAAGTGAAAATTCATTGCCAACAAAATAAAGTGGCGCTTAATTAACGCCCACTTACATTGCAAATATTTTAATAAAAATTACAACGAAAGAGAGGGAGTGAATTTTATTGAAAAAATTGTACCGAAAAAGGATTTTTTGCGCTTAAAAATAAGTAAAAGTTGCTGAAGGACATGAAATAGCGTTAAGTGCAAACAAAAAAATTTGCACAATTGATCAGCGTTGAAATCCGTGAGGACGAAATGGTCAGCTAGCTTTGTATGCACGAATAAATGCACAAAGGATATATTACAGCCAAAAAAACAACGAGTGAAAGGAGTAAAATGGCACTACATGTAAGAGTAAACATTCGTAGTTACACACACAAACAGTGACACAAAATAGTAAAGGCGTGAAT